CTTCCAATAATACAACTGTGACATCTCCCTGACAAAAAAATTTGCTTAGGCCCTGATAACAGTGTTCATCTGGGAACAACACACCCAATTCAATTTAAACAAAAACAAACAAACAAAAACATAAACTACTATCTTCAAACCACAGATAGTCATGAGTATCTGGCCCTGGTGGTTTATAGGAAGTCAGTTTGGGTCTTAGTGAAAAATGCTGATCAGGAACAGGGCTGTTGGACCGAAGAGGAGTTACAGAAAACCATCCTCAAAAGGCTCTAATGTTTGTTCTTGCATTCCTAAATGCTGGATGCACTATCAAAGTTCCATCACTTCCCAAAAAACACAGATCTCAGTATTATATCCCAGGAAAAAAGACAAACTCCCTCATACAAACGTGAACAAACCCCAGCAGCAAGTACTATTGTTTATAAATAGACTGCACTGAAGGAAGGGGAAGGAGATCATATTTTCCTTATATGTCATTCTTAAGTAAGATTTACAGATTTATGAAAGCAAGAAAAAAAACTGGGGAATCAAAGTCCTAGTTATACATATTGCCATGGGTCAACTTTCATTAATAACATCTACTGTGCTAGACTCTTAAGAAGTACTACTGATGAAAAGCATGTAAGCACATTTCTGTATCTGTATTATAGTAAGTTAAAAAAAAAAAAAAAGGCAACTGGGACCAGTGGATCACACCTATAATCCCAGCACTTTGGAAGGCTGAGGCAAGGGAACAGCTTAAGGCCAAGAATTCGAAACTAGATAGTCAACATAGAAAGACCCAGTCTCTACAAAATAAAAATTTTAAAACTGGCTAGGCACAGTGGCATACACACCTGTAGTCCCAGCTACTCAGAAGGCTGAGGTGGGAGAATGCCTTGGGCCCAAGAATTCAAGGCCACTGCAGTAAGCTGTGATTGCATCACTGCACTCCAGCCTGGATGACAGAGCAAGACCCTGTCCCAAAGAAAAGAAAGAAAAAGGTATACAAGTTTCCACCTTCTAATGGCTTTCAATCAAATGCTTATTTAAAGGCATTCTCACTTAATCACTTGATAAATGTTACATAGGCAAAAAGATAAAAGTTTTAACTTCACTTTCACATTTTCCATCAGAGTCTCAATTTCTGTATTTTAAGAGTTAATCTCTACGGTCATATGCTACACTAATTATTTAAAGAGTGATCATTTGTTACACAAAACCTGACTCATTAATTTACTTCTCTAGATCCAAACATCAGACATTAATAAGACAACCCTATTATACACACCATAGATAGTAAGCAACTTGTGAAATCTGCTTGTAAGAAGTGATGACTAATTTCAGGGAGACCTTAACAAAGTTTCTCCTTTCCATCTGCTCAAATTCTTCCAAGTTATCATAAAGCATTTTCAGGACATTAGTCCCTGACCAACCTCTCATTCACAGTGGAATTTTTATTAATTTTCTTAGCTGAGATTTATTAACCCTGAAATATACACACAAGTTACATCAGATTAGGCCCCCTGTTGCCTCTAGTCCTCCAAGAAGCAGAAGGAAGGCTTCAGAGTGCTTCAGGATAGATTTCCAAAGAATATCTCATACGCAGGCAGCTGCTCCGGGGTGACAGAAACTGAAGCACCCTGAGCCAGCCCACTCTTGCCCCAGAGTCCAGCCAAATGGTGGAAAACACAAGAGTTTTCCCTCTCCAAAAAAAACAACAAATAGATTGCTCTCAATCTAGGATGGTCTTTAAAAATATCTTGTTTACAAGATGAACCTAAAGCCTGGTGAAGGTTCCATATCAACTGAAACCAACTAAAATGGACAATTTAGAGGAACTCAACACCTATCTAAATAAACCATTCTACTAGACACCAAAAATGACACATAGTGACCAACCTGCTTGGCTCTACTAAAACTCAAGAAAAAATTCAGTACCCAAACTTGCCAAAGAAATGTATTGCAACCTTCTTTTACTATGTTTGGTGTTATTAAGTTAGAAGCAGTGAAAAAAATAAATAAAAATCAAAAAAAGAATCAACTCAAGTTCTGGATGCTGGACTACATAATGGTTTTCATTATAATGTTTAGCTCTGAAATGAGCTCAGACATTCTGGGAAGGTATAAATCTCAAGTGGTAAATGTTTCAGAAAAAGGACCACATTCATTATGGCTTCAGAATAGAAGTTCCTTTAGTTATAAGCTAAAGTACCAGAGAGCAACATGCTCTGCATCAGGGGTACCCGATCCCAGGGCCGTGGACCTGTTAGGAACCAGGCCACACAGCAGAAGGTGAGTGGCATAGCAGGTCAACAAGCATTACAGCCTGAGCTCCACCTCCTGTCAGATCAGCAGCAGCATTAGATTCTCATAGAGCCCAAACCTTACTGTGAACTGCGCATGTGAGGGAGCTAGGTCGCATGGTCCTTATGAGAATCTAATGCCTGATGATCTGAGGTGGAACAGTTTCATCCTCAAAACCTCCGACTCCCCCCCAACCCCACCCCTGTCTGTGGAAAAACTGTCTTCCAGGAAACCAGTCCCCGGTACAAAAAGGTTGAGGATCACTGCTTTCTATTTTACATCAGGTCTTTCCATAAGCAGATGGCAGCCTAAACAGTAGGCAACAGATTCCTAAGAGGCACGACAACATAGTGGCTGGGAGCCTGGGCTACAAAGGCTACCTGTTCAAATCTCAGCTTACAGCTGTGTGACCTTGGGCAAGCTAATTAATCTCTCCGTGCCTCAGTTCCCTCGCCCACTGAAGTTTACCTAAGATACGAAGGCTAATGTCACACACATAACGGTTAAGCTTACAGAAGGGTCTTAAAATGTCTGTCTGCTTGGGGAGTCAGCGGCCTTCCGGGCACTCAAAGAATTTCTTCTTTCTGCAGTGAAAATCCAGTATAGAAAATCTGAGAAAGGCAATCTTAAATACAAAATGCTCTACCTCCCAGTTCAGTACCAACAGCCTTCTCCAGCAGCCACTTTCACCTTTCATCAAATGAAAGGTGATGAAGTTCTGCTTTTACACTTAAAGCAGAACTTCAGCCTCTCATTGAGGACTAAGGATGGGTATTACAATATTGGAATTAGCTTTGCCTAAGATTTCCCAGTAACTGAATGAGTCACTCACGTCTTTAGAAATAGAGAAAATGTCAAGGTTGCCAGAAAACCCAGGTCCAGATGTTTGCATAAATCATTTTCAAGTGATCATCAAGCCAAAGCCAAAGGACATTATTTAAGGAAATGCTTTAAGTAAAATATATCACTTTTTATGATTTTCTTGTAATGGAGGAAATTCTGAAAATGAGGTTACTGGAGGGAAAAAAATTACAGTAATTTCAATCCCAAAATTACACAACATATCAAGCTAAGCTTAAAACTCCTTACCTTTTTCCAACTGTTCTCTCCAACCTCATCAAGAAGCACTGGACAAGCTTTGAGCTCAAGATTTAAAGATGCCCATAGTGCTTGTTTCTATTTTCTCTGTCATACTACCTAAGGAAAGCAGAGGCTTTTAAAATTTTGATACATCTCTCTGCAGCAAGATTTTTAATACCTCTCACCGACAAAACATGTTGAGTGCTCTGTATTGATGATAGCACCCATAAAAGGGTCTTTTTTCACTTTCAAAATAATTCCAGTAAAGTTTGTCCTTTAATCTCAATTAAATTCATGCCATTTGCTCTAGCATAATAGAAAAAAATGGCAAGAATATTCTTTGGTCATTTAAGTTGTCACAAAAGAGAAAAAAAAATCAACTTCACGTCTAGGCTTCTCTCTCTCTCGTAAGTCAAGTAGGAATAGTTAGATTGCCCTGTCAGGGTTTGAGTTCTTCAGGTTCATCCGTTCCAGAGCACACTACATAATACCCAGTTCCACCCCAATTTCTGAAGTGCACAGGTTATTGGCAAATAACTTAAAACTGAACTCGCACATGCCGCGCGGCGGGTACCCTTCCAAAGGGAACAGATTGTGTCCGCTTTGCTTATTTTCGGTAACTTTAAATAAGACTTTGGATGGGTCGTTTTCCCAACTCATTTACCAATTTTACCACTGGACGCAGGGCTGAGCGCCCCACAGCTTTCGGCCGGAGTATAACACGCGCTTCCCCACTCGGTTCCCCATGTCTGCTACAAACAATCCAGAGGTAATAGCTGAAGAATGACGACACTAAAATCAACCTACAGATTCACATCTAAAACGGCTGCAACACGAAATAAACTTCTCTCTCTTCAGAGGCAGTGGGGAAGAAAAAATAATAATAATAAGGCTAGGTGGGGTCGGTTTGATCCATTTCCGAGACTCGGTGAGCGTAGGGGTCTGGACTGGTGCGGGCGACTTAACCCCGTAAGAGCCGAGAACGACCCCACCGCCATACGCGGGCCCCGGGCTGGGGGGGCGCCTCACGCCGCGCCCGTTCCCCCGCCAGCAGGTGCCCGAAGCCACCCCAACAGGCCGGGTGCGAATGCCGGAACATGGCCACTTCCCTGAGAGCGATGCCGCCGCCGCACGCCGCCCGGCACTTTGTTAACTCGGCGCGCCCGGGCGAGATGGCTCCCAAGAGATGATCATTGCCGTCCGAGAGCTACAGAGCCCCGGCTGGCGGCGGCTGGGACCCTCCCCTGGCCTGGCCTCGCCCAGCACCGGTGTGGGGCCGCGGCAGGAGGAAGAGGTCGGGGAGGAGCCGGTAACCAGGGGCCCGCACGCCTGGCCCCCCCGGTAACCAGGGGCCCGCACGCCTGGCCCCTCGGAGCCCCGCGCCCCCTTCCCAGGTGCTTACCTGAGGAAAGGAGCCCTCGCGGCGCGGGTTCCTGGGGTAGTCTAAGTGACCCCGGTCCAGCATCAGATAAAGCGAGAAAATCACCACACAGAAGATCGCACTGCCGAACACGGTGAACTGGCGGCTTAACTTCATTTTCCTCGATAGACTCGGGGCCAGGACACTGTCCTCAGCCAGAGGAGACAGCGGACTGTTGACTCCAGGAAGCAGCCGCCGGAGGCTCCCTTCTCCCAGGCTGCGCGCCCTCCGCGCTGTCGGCTGCGGGTGCGAGTCCCAGCCGTGCTCCGCACCTAGTCTCCGGCGCCACCACACGCCCTTGGCCTTCGCCCTGGCCTGCCGCCCTCCCCGGGGCCGGGCGCCCCTCTCGAGGCGAGACTCGCCGGCAGCTGGGAAGGGGCCCCCACAAACTTGATCGTAAGCTCAGCGCCGACCTCCGGCAGGGCGCGCGGGGCAGGCGGAGGAGAGGTCGCTGCCCGCACTTCCTGCCACCGCCGCGCCAACTGAGTCGGCAGGAAAAGTTTTCTCGACGAGGGCAGGCGTGTCCTCCTCACCCAGGGGAGGCGCGGGTTCGGCAGTTCCCGGGCCGGGGCCGCGCAGCTAGGTCAGAGAAGCGGAGGAGAAAGGAACAGGGTCGTGAAGAGCCTAGCCCTACAACTTCTAGCCGGGACGGTCGGGCCCGCCCCCGCGGCACCGCCCCCGCCTCCCCCAACTGAGCCCCTTCCTGCCGCCGCCGCCGCCACTGGGCCGGTGTGTACCCTGGACTCCGGGGCGCACGAATTGATGAGTTTCCTCAGAGCTAGCATCCGCTTGCCGGCCTCTCCCGCCCCCAGCCGTCTCTACCTTCCCCCTCCCGAACCCAGGCTGCGCGGGGAGGTGCAGGGGGCGGGCGGTGGCAACGCGGGGAGAAGGAAAAGGAGAGCAGGGAGAAAAGGACCGTCCCCGGAGAGAAGCCCGCTCCAGCTGCAGCCGCGATCCCCCTCCCTCTTTCCCGCCCCACAAACGCGGAGATGGCGGCGGCAGCGGCGAAAGGAAGCGCCGGTTCTCCAGCGCCACTTGGCGCTCCAGCACCGCCTGCTACGAGCAGGAGGAGACAGCGGCGGCGCGGCGGCCGCCGGGTCAATAAGCGCCGACAGCCCCTGAGCCGAGCGGGCGGCTGGCCCCGCCCCCTCCCGACGCTCCGAGTTGAGGGGGCGGGCCCCCCGGCGCCCAATCGCAGAGCGTCACCGGCCGGACCCGCCCCGCGCCTGCCTCCCAGTGTCCCGGCGGTAGGAAGACCTCACAAGGCTCTTGTGACCTGGCAGGCAGCTTTCTGGGAGTTGAGGCCTTCGGAGGCGTTCAGGCGCCAGCACCCCACGTCCAACAGGGGTTGAACTTACACCCCACTTCCCTTTGTTGCCCAGGTTTCCTATCCTAGGACACTCGGGCCTGGCGTGCCTGGAAGAGTACTTAGTGAAGGGCTGGAGGAAATGCAAGAGAAGAGGGCTTGCACATTCTCTTCGGGCTATTTCCTCCTTTGGTCACAGCCTGTTGAAACCTGGGGGAAAGGAGACTGACAAAGGGCCGTCCAGGCACATGTAGAAACATCTGACTGCGAATTCCATGAGTGTAATCTGAGAAGTGATGCTTATGCCAGTTATTGATTGCCTCTCAGCTCCAAATTCACCCTTTTTGACTGCACTGTAAAAATGGATCTGAGCCTTTTAAACAGTTTTTCGTTTGCCTTCTGGGACTGAAGCTTTGTCAGTAGAGGGCGCTGAAGAGACATTACAGAAAAAAAGGATTTTGCTTCCTGGTTTCTGTGTATTGATAGGCTTTTGCAGCATACCTGGCTTTCTCCAGTGCCAAGATCCTATAGTGCTCAGTAACTAGCAATTTCCTCTCCCGTGCCCAACTCCAGGAGCTTTGTAGAGGAGGTGAGACACTACCCCATGCATAACTTCCCTGGTACCCTAGAGGTATTTGCAGCAAGTTGCAGAGGGCACATGTTCCACAAGCTTTGCAGGCGTAGCCCAATGGTGACTTCTCTGCTATTCAGTGAGCCAGGTCATGCCCTCTCCAAAAAGGTCTAGATCTTAGCCCTGGGAGGAATTGGGGAGATTCTTCATTGGGCACTCTGTCTCTCAGTCCAAGAGTTAGTTATAAGGTTAGCTCCTTATACCTGCTGTTGCTATATTCTTTAAAGTTCTCTTTTCACTAGTGAATCCTTCATTACTCTAATTCTCTATTATAGTTAATAATTCTTTTTATTAAGCCTTCCCTGTCCCAGGAGTAGTCCCAAGAAATAGACCTGAAAAGATGGGATTAAAGGTCAGTTTGATTGAGGTTTTGAGCTTGAGCTCCTTGCCAAAGGGAAATGTAATTCATGACATGCTGGGCATCTCAATTAAGCAATTACCTGTGGTTGATCCTGATGAAGTGCCAACTGAAGCCTGTGCCTTGGGGGCCCAAGTGGCTGCTACACTTGACTGCTATGGTTGTAAAGGTGACTAGAAAGACTGGTGTGGGATGGATTCTTTTGAGTGGTTAGTTATAAAGAGAAATGAAAGCACAGGTTTTTTAACTCTCAGAGTTATGGCATGAGAACCAGAGATATTCTGTAGAATTCTAAAAGCTCTGGTTTATTGTAGCGACAAGAATGATGCTGAGAAACAAAATTTTAATTTTCATGTTACTAAATTATAACTGCTATTAAATTCATACACATTCTCAGTTTTTCACGTAAAAGGGTGTTATTTTTTAATAATAGAATCTCAATACTTGAAATGGGTTGGACCCAGATGAAACCGACAATCTTAAACACTCCAACTCTTTCTCTTATCAGTGGAAGTAGGTTGCCCTCCAGTGTCTAAAGAGACTAGACTTGCTTGAAAACCTTGACTATAGAGGATGCCACTATCTAGATGGGCTCCCTGGTTTCAGTGGGGATGACACAATCTCAGAATAGCAGAGGCCAGGCAGCACATAACCAACAAAGACAAGGTGGGCACATCTACCTTAAAGGGCAGCAGGATATCAGACTGCCTTGGCTTACAAAGCTGCTCTGGGAACAAAATAGGTAGGCAGTTGAAATAGATTATTGCTTGATATTTATAACAGTTGTAAAGATCTAGGTCAGGTAGCCAAAACCTGACTTGAGTCACGACAGTGGGTAGTCACAATCTCCCAGTTCTCAGACCTAAGTCAATTCACAGACCCTTAGTCCCTTGGTTGAAAGAGAATCTGTGTCCCCTTTAGGAAGGATCTTGCACCTTGGCCACAGTACACATGGCAAATTCTTTCAAGCTTTCCCCAAAACGACATGTGGCCATTTACTAGTGACTCTCCATTGGCGAAAAGGAAATACACAGATCATTTTAGGTTTACTAAACACTGGCTCTGAGTTGATGCTAATTCCTGGGGACAGAAATCACCACTGTTAGTCCACATACCAACTATGTGTCTACTTTCCCAGTGTAATTGGAATATGTATTAATGACATAATTTTAATGGCAAAAACAGCAATTACTTTGGCATCAACCTAATAATTGTAATAGACATACTTAGCAACTGACAGGATCCCCACATTGGGATTTAGCCATAGAAAGAGGACCATTATTAGGGAGAGCTAAATGGAAGCTCCAGGAGCTCTTGGAGCTTCCATTTAGTTCACCAGATGCAACACTGCATGGCTGGGAGGAATTGCAGGAATCAGTGCTACCATAAAAGCCTTAAAAGGAGTAGGGGTGGTGATACTTATTCTCATTTAATTCACCAGTGCAGAATAAATCTAGTAGAATAACTGTGGACTCATAAACTTAATCAAGAAGTGATTCCAATTGCTGCTGCTGCTGTCTCAAATGTATTATTTTTACTGGAACAAATCAACATAAGACTTGGCACTTGGTATATAGCTACTGATGTGGCTAATGCTGTTTTCTCTATACCTATTTGTAAAACCACCAGAAGTAGTTGGCTTTCTCCTGTCAGGGCCAACAGGATACCTTCACAGTATTGTCTTGGGGGTGTATCAATTCACTTTAATATAGTCCACAGAGATGTTGATTGTCTTGACATGCTATAAAATATCACACTAGTCCACCGCATTGACAACATTATGCTGATTGGACCTGAGAAGCAGGAATTAGCAAGTATTTTAGGTGCCTTAATAATATATATTTAAACTAGAGAGAAGGAGATAATGATCTTGAGTATGATATGACAACTCTAAAGTGGTCACTTCAGATGTGGGATATGTTCAAGGATGGTACAAGCTATACGAGTACAAAACCACTGAGTCACTGAGAGATGAATCCAAACAGATGGTGTTGGTTAGCAATGGTTAGGATTTGGGGGAAAGGGGGCAAAGTAATTGTTGCAGGGACTGGTCATACCAATCATGTGGCCATGGAAGGAAAGTGGTATAGGCTGAATGTTTCTCTTTTTTTTTTTTTTTTTTTTTTTTTTGAGACGGAGTCTCGCTTTGTCGCCCAGGCTGGAGTGCAGTGGCCAGATCTCAGCTCACTGCAAGCTCCGCCTCCCGGGTTTACGCCATTCTCCTGCCTCAGCCTCCGGAGTAGCTGGGACTACAGGAGCCCACCACCTCGCCCGGCTAGTTTTTTGTATTTTTAGTAGAGACGGGGTTTCACCATATTAGCCAGGATGGTCTCGATCTCCTGACCTTGTGATCCGCCCGTCTCGGCCTCCCAAAGTGCTGGGATTACAGGCTTGAGCCACCGCGCCCGGCTGAATGTTTCTCTTTAAAATACACATGCTGAAGTCACAACCCCCCGTACCTCGGAGTATAATAGTATTTAGAGATAAGGTCTTTAAAGAGGAGATTAAGTTAAAAAGGCGATTAAGTTAAAATGAAGCTGTTAGTGAGGCCCTAATCCAATCTGACTGGTGTCCTTATAAGAAGAGAGAGAGACCAGGGATACATGCACACAGAGAAAAGACCATGAGAGGACAGATTGGGATGGCAGCCATCTGCAAGCCAAGGAGAGAGAGGCCTCAGGAGAAACCAAACCTGCTGACACTTTGATCTTGGACTTCCAACCTCCAGACTGAGAAAATAAATATCTGTTGTTTAAGCTAGCCAGTCTTTGGTATTTTGTTATGCCATCCCTAGCAAACAAATACAGAAGGCAACCACCCAGCTGATAGAAAATATTAGGTAGGTGCAAAAGTATTTGCGGTTTTTGCAGGTAATGGCAACTGCGATTTTTTAAAGGTAATGGCAAAAAAAACGCAATTACTTTTGCACCAACCTAATATTTGCAAATCACATATTTATTAAGGGACTAATATCCAAAATATATTATGAGCCCACATAATTCAATAGTACATAAATAAATAGTCCAATTTTAACATGAACAAATCACCTGGATAAACATTTTTTCAAAGAAGACATACAAATGGCCAACAGCTAATATTAAAAGGTGCTCTAGGTTGGGCATAGTGGCTCATTCCTGTAATTCCAGCACTTTGAGAGGCTGAGGCAGGCAGATCACTGGTGAAACCCCTTCTCTACTAAAAATATGAAAATTAGCCATGCGTAGTGGGAGGTGCCTGTAATCCCAGCTACTGTGGAGGCTGAGGCAGGAGAATCGCTTGAAGCCAGGAAGCGGAAGTTGCGGCGAGCAGAGGTTGCACCACTGCACTCCAGCTTGGGTGACAGAGGAAGACTCCATTTAAAAAAGAAAAAGCTTTTCTAATCATCAGGCAAATGTAAATGAAAGCCACAATGAGATATTACCTCATACCTGTTAGGATGGCTATTAGAAACATGTCAAATAATAATAAGAGTTGACCAAGAAATGGAGAAAAGGAACCCTTGTACACTATTTATAGGATTATAGACTGGTAAACCATTGTGGAAAACAGTATGAAGTTCCTAAAACCTTAAAAATAGAACTACCACATTATCCAGCAATCCCACTCCTGTGTATATATCCAAAGCAACTTCTCTTTTTCAGAAAATTAATTTGGATAATCTTAATCACTTATTTACTTTACTGAAATAAGATTTTACTATCACTTATGAAAAAGCTGTATGTTTTCCTATTGTTACTAACATACTAACGTATGAGTCTTTATGTCTCCTGGAGTTGATAATAGCCATTCCAAGAGATGTGAGGTGATATCTCATTAGATAGCTGCACTCCCATTTTCATTGCAGAATTACTCACAATAGCCAAGATGTGGAATAAACCTAAGTGTCCATCAACAGATGAATGAATAAAGAAAATGTGGTATATATAAACAATGGAATACTATTCAGCCTTTAAAAAGGAAGGAAATCCTATCATGTGCAACAACATAGATGAACCTGAGGAACATTATGCTAAGTGACATAAGCCAGATTCAAGAAGACAAATACCTCATGATCTCACTTATACTGGTATGTGGAATCTAAAGAAGTCAGACTCATAGAAATAGAGAGTTGTATGGTGGTTGCCAGAGACTGGGAAGTGGAGGAAATGGGATTTTGGTCTAAGGGTATAAACCTTCAATTATTAGATGAATAAATTCTGGAGAGCTAACATACAGCATGGTGACTATAGTTAATGATACTGTATTGTGTACTGAAAATTTGCTAAGAGGGTAGATCTTAAGTGTTCTCACTATCCACAAAATAATGGTAATTATGTGGGGTGATGGATACGTTAATAAGCTTATTTGTGGTAATCACTTTATAATGGATACATGTATCAGAACTTCATGTTGTATACCATAAATATGTACAATTTTTATTTGTCAATAATACCTCAATAAAGCTGGAAAATAGATTGATAGATAATTGATAAATTGATGATAGATAGAGATATACAGATAAATTAGATAAATACATAGGATGGATAGATAAATAGATGAAATGAGATAGATGATAGATAGATAGATAGATAGATAGATAGATAGATAGATAGACAGACAGACAGACAGACAGACAGACAGACATACGTTCTGGTTTCCCCAGGACCTTCAGAACAAACCTAGGTGCCTATCCTGGGATACAATTTTTTCATTTGGGAAAGATATGAGAAATTTTATCCTCCCTTTGGATCAGAGCAATTATCTCTGTCATTAGGGAAACAAATTGCTACAGATTTAATCCTTATGCTATGAGAAAATTTTCTAGCAAAAGTGAAAGCAAACATTCTCTATAGTGTACATGTTTTTGGGGCTCAGAAGGCTAGAGCTTTTTGTAGGAACACTGAAAATAGAAGGAAGGGGAGGTACATGAGGGCAGAGCTCATATCATAAAGGTTCAAATCTGATGGCTTCTCCAGTAGATAAAGCTTTTGTGACTTTGGGAAAGTTACATAATATCTCTAAGCCTCCATTTTCCAACATATTATATTGGGGTAGTAACAGTGATCTTTCAGCCTTGCTGTATGATTAACACAGGTAGTGACATATTGGGAGAGCATTCCCCAGATACTTCCATTTACTCTGGGAAAGTGAAAGATGGGTGCAATTGGGAGGTGAGTAGGGGAGAGAACATTTGAAACAGCTGCCGTGGGACATGGAGAAGGAAGTCCATGTAGATAATCGGACAGTATTGATTTGTCATGGAGCAAGTTTACCGTTTTCTCCCTTGTCATTGATCTATGGCTTGAGAGCTCAATGAAAGTGTACTGTGAGGATAATCCAGGAAGAACCCCTTCTACCAGGATGCAAGAACAACAGTCACCCAAGGAATGCTCCAGGTTAGGAGCATATCACAGATATCTGTCATTTTTCCT